AAAATAAGTTAAAATAAAGTTTGTTTAAAATAAAATTAGTATGATATCGTCAAGTCTTAGATTATAAGAATAGTACAGACAGACAAAATACCGATCAATCTTATCTGTACTTCGTTCGGTCAATTATAGTTTATGTATGCGAACAATCTTATCATATTTAGTGTGTGTTCTGTAATCGTATACGTCTATTCGATAATAGTCCTCATAATTTTGTACAGTATACTGGAATTTTTCTTAGTGTTTATTGTGGCTCCACACGATACAAATTTCTTTGCGCGTGGTTTTTATAAGTTTGAATTATGCCACTAAAATTTATTAAAAGCCAAAAAGGGAAAAACATGTCGGTGTATAACGGTTTCCTGTACAGCAAGCATGAAGTGTACGAAAATAAAATTGTATGGCGTTGCTCTGATTTTAAAAAATTTGCATGCAAAAGCCGATGCCACACTACTTCAGAAGATGAAACAGGTAATTTAAATCAAAAATTAAGGTATTAAAACTGCTGCAATTTGCTTGAAAATAATTTTCTTGAAATTTTTAATGAATATAATTTTTTTTAGTGTCGGAAAAAAAAGTTGAGATTTGTTTGAAATTTTTTCGATATTTTGACTATTTTCTTATATTTTCTTTAAACTATTTGTTTATTCACTTTATTCATAGGTGAGATTCTAAAATACACTGATCATTCACATGCTCCAAATGTAGCAAAATCGGAGGCTAAAGGACTAGTTAATGAAATAAAGAAAAGTGCGGAAAATGGACAATTTTCAACTAGATAGAACCTAACCGGATATTTTTGATACAGGATATTTTTTCACCGGACCAAATGTCGTTGATTATTTGTCGCCGGATATTATTTACCGGATCAAATGACGCGGAACCATAAATACCAGGGCTTTTTCACTCGTTTCGAATATAGATAAGTACAATTTGAAACCAAAATCAAAATCAAAACCGAAATCAAACTAAAAAAAAAGAGGGAAACTGCGTGTCACTCTGCTGTACAGTAAGTAACAAGTGGGTCACTGTAATGGATGGTGTTAAATTGGAATTCAATGATATAATATCATTGCATAAGAAAACTGATTTTAAGCGATTTGTTGTAAGAATATGAACTTCAATCGGTCATAAAAATTTAATTTTACTTGGATAATTTGGCAATGTTAGTGATTTTTACGTGTTTTGTCAACATAATATGAACACTAAATGTTTATAAAAAAAAAATGTTGACTATGGATAATATTTTTCAAATGTCATTGTAACAATATATTAATAGCCTGGTATTATATAGTCAAGCTTTTCACCATTTTAACATTTAGTTAACATTCATAGAAAAAAAAAAACTAATACTGGTTATACATAAAAATCCCAATTTTTCTTATTTTTATTTTTTCCCGACGCTTTTGCAAACTACTTGAAAATTTACTTTTGACCCCCCAGAGTACCAACTAAATTCACTTAACTAACTATTATTAATTCAATAATACACATACATACCATCATTTTGTACACAATTTGTATTTGAGAAACATTTGTACTACTTGTTGAATATTCAGTTCTTATTGGAAAAAAACACTGTTTCTAAATCAAAACTAAAAACTGTCTAGAATGATAATATGGTGTGTTATACAATATTGCATTATTAAATTTAATTTATTGTTATATGCTCAGCGTTCAAAATAATAATGTATAGTTTCATAAAATGTTATAATTACATAATATTATCAACCGCCGTTCATTCTTATGTACAAAATAATATATGTATATCTGCGTAAAAATGAATATTATCAGTCACAAACTAGAATAAAATATATTATTTTAAAGTTATTATACAGGTGTTCCCAAATTTTTTTGACTCGGGGTGCCCTATTTGAACAGAAGGTTTTCTCAGGCCACCCTTCCCTTCATAAAAATAGAAAAATTAAATAAAAACAAATACAAATTGTGATGGGTAACATGAAAATATGTATTTAATTTAGAGTATACATAATTTATGCATTTTACATAATCGTAATCGTTTCCTGTAATCATAAATGGGTGGCGGGGCGCTCACTTTGGAAACCGCAGTGTATAAAATATATTGAATAGCATAGTATTGTATTGTATAAACCAGTACATTTGAGAATCTGAGCAGAGGTACCTATTGATCTAATACAATCGTGTGTGCGTGTTGTTATTTGTACATATATTTTTGTATGTTTATAGTAGAAATCAAGTTAGAAAAGCTCACATTTCGAGCGTGCTTAATTCCTGGTTTCTAAACGTATTTTAATGCAACTCGATAAATTACAATTACATATTTTTGTATAATGTATGTACAGTTAATACGGATAATAAATTAACAATAACCATAATGTATTATATTAACAATCGTAACTATATACTGGTAACAGTAGACTGAGGGACACGGGGGGCATATGGTGTATAAATATATGTTTAGAAACCTAAAATGAATCAGTTTTCAAGTTTGGGAGTGGCTTCAGGTAGTAAATTTGATTTAGTTAGTTTTACTGAGATATATTTTAATATCCACTAACAACATAGGTTGAATCTTCTTTCAGATTTTTAAGTTTTTGACCAAGTGAAAAAATGTTATCAACAAATGACAATATGTAGTATAAAAAAATTAATACAAATCCAAATTTCTTTTGCCTAAAAATAGCCAAAATGTGTCTATATTAAAAATATTTTGAAAATGTTACTATACTTATATGAAAATTTATAATGTAAACATTTGGCGAACATTTAAAGTAACTAAGGTAGGTACCTAATTCGATTTTGAGTTACATCAAAAATTTAAATCGATTTTGCGAAAACTGATTTTAGTTTTACCCAACGCTATTTAAAATTAATAAGTAGGAATTTTCATATGCAATTATTTTATTCACTTCCCCAACAGAAAACCCAATGAATTTGAAAATCCAAGCATTATTTCAACAACTTGTTAGAATCGCTGTTTTTTTGTGAAATATCCACTTTATCTTATTAAGTTATGTGGTATTTTGGGAGGGTTTTTGTGTGTATATATGTTATACCTAGTCAGTATTCCTATTGCAGCAATTAGGATTTTTATGTTCAGGGTAAAAGTTGCTTTTTAAATTAATTCAGGAAGTTCAGTAAGCGATAAGAAAATAAGAATCCATAAGAAAATCACTTCATGAGTAATCTAGTGAATATCCAATGTTGTAAAAATTAGAACTTCAGGCGCTCATAAAATAATATTGTAAATTTATGCTCAAATTTTTTTTTATAATTTCAACTGACAACAACTTACGAGGTTCTGTTACATATTTGTTGAGTTTTTTGACAAAGCGAAAAACTTGTTATCGACATTAATTTTGAAAAAGTTAGTAATAATCAAAAATTGCATATTACACCAATAAATAGGACAATACGAGTCAAACTATTTCAAATATTTTAGCGTAGTGTATAGTAAATGCTAATATAAACATTCAGTAAAAATTCCATGTATCTATACTGTACATAGTTTCGGTATATCACGGTTTTTATATTTACACAAAAAACCAAAATCTATTTCATCGAAAACCGATTTCACGCAAGGCTTCCAGTTTTCCCTGAATTGTATTTGCCGGCGCTTTTAGTAACTGGGAACTTTAAAACTGTCACCTCCCGAATGCACCAACCAGACTCAAATTCTCATTGGACAAGATTTTGAAGTTGAAAATCAAAGTATTATTTCGACTGTTAATCTTGTACACGGTCAAAATAAATAAAATTAAAAAAGCACACCATATTGTAAAACTAATACATTCATCACTTCGCTATGAGTCTAAAATATTTCTTATTTCTTATAAAAAAGTATGTTTACTCTGAAAACAAATTTATGATAAGTCATGCACACATTTGAAAAAATAAAAATTACGTTATAATGATAAGTGCCACATTCTTAATGTGTGCCGTTGACCGGTGATATCATATGCACTACATGATAATATAATGTTATAATATGATTGTAAAATATATTAAATCACGACTAAATTAGTTATTTTAGAGTAAAAAAGTAAAAGAACAAAACTGAATTTACAAATACATGGGCGTTCTCAAAGAGGGAGGGATATGGTGGATAGATCTCCCCCAAGGTTCTTTATTTTCCAACATATTAGTAATACATGTTTTGTCTACTTTTGATATGTGTTTGTGTTTTAACTTTTAAATATTGACTAGTAATTATTTTTATTTATTTTTTGCTATTTTCTTTATCGTGATTATTGATTCCCCCAGCCAAAAACAATATTATTGTTTATCACTGATAAGGATAACAATATATAAGTCATATAACCAGTGGCGTACTCACGGGGGGGGGGAGGGGTCATGGGGTTTGACCGTATTTTTTTTCACTTTCATATGAGTATTACAATATAGGTAAGATTTTGGTTTTTGGTGTACCTTTAACTCTAAAACAAATGATCGTAGATACTTGAAATTTTCACTGGTTGTTTATATTATCATTTTCTATACACGTTAAAATGTATTATTAAGATTATTTGGATTTATTTTAAACTGTTTACAGTCTTACAGACATTTTCGTTTTCCAATTTTGCTTGTTTTTTTTTCTATGTATGTCAATAGAATGTTATTTGTTCTGTAAAAAAGCAATGATGGGCATTAACGAATTAATAAGTTAAAGTTAAGTTACTTTTAACTAAGTTAATTAACGAGTTACTTTTTTTCTTATGTTATTCAGTACCTAACTTACGAGTTAATTAATTTTATAGCCACGTTAAGTTAATTTTTTTCCTAAGCCACAGGTTTAAAATTAATTCAATTTTGTAAAAATTAATTTTATAAAAAGAGAATCCGAAATATTAAATATATTAATTAGTAAATAATAATTATTATATTGCATATTCACAGAAAATATTATATAACTATATTATAGACGGAAATTTTATAAGGTATTTACTGTTAATATTACTTTCTTACAATATTGTATCGCACCTAAATTATTTGATATTTTAAATACAAATATGGATAACTAATAACTATTAACTTAGGCCTTAGCTAATAGTGACACATCTCATTCAAAATGGAGTCATTTAAATAAATATTTTAAAGAAAAAACCTCGAAAACAGGCCGCGGGTCCAGAAAGTTTATATAAGTATAACATATAAGTATAACAATTAGTATACAAATCAAAAATAAATACATTTTTTGAAAATCTTGGGAGCGAAACCGGATTGGAACCCTTAAATATATTTTTTTGGGAACCGAAACCAAAACCTATATTTTGATGTAGAGGTTTTTTTTTTTTCGGGTCCAAAATTCAATAGATATTTTATCGATGCCAATTCATGTGGATTTATGCTTGAATATTTTCAAATTTCTGGAATTTCAAAATCTGATTATTCTGGATTTATTCGGAATTTAAAGCAGAAATCTTAAAATGTGGACTGACCGATCCATAATAGAAATTCTAACGAATTTAGATCAGTTTTCAGAAATTTTATTGCATTATTTGATCGATTGGTACAATGGAACAAAAAAAAAAAAAGCGGGAGCGGTAATTTTTAGAGACGGTCCACAATATATTGACTATAAAATATATCTTGCGTATATTGATAATATAATATTATTGATAAATGATAATACATCGCTATACTACAATATTATGCGTTTATAATTATAATGATTAATAAAATATATATGTAATAAGTATATAATATAATATATATTATTATATAAGTATTGAATTGTCCGTAGGTAATATATTTTTTGTCACACCTGGACCGAAAGTTTGGTTTTCGACCTCTGTTTAAA